TTTAATTCTGCATGTATTTTTTTCTTGTTCTGTTTACCTTGAGAAACAGACGGGACTCCTGTTAAAGTCGTTCCTGATAAATGACACACAGTTTTATGGTCCCTTAAAGTACAATATGGAAATATAAAAAATGCAGGACGACTGAATTTATTTCTTTGTTTAGGTACTAAAGTAGATCTAAATAAAGATATAATTGGCATACGTGCTTAATGCATAAACTAGTGATAAGGTCAAATTGAATGGTCTTTTAACCGAAATGTATTTTTGTCTTTTTTTGGTCTTTTTTATGTATTCTAATATCATTTGATGCTGACACGTAACACGTGTGATCTATATTTGCTCGTTCACCTTGCAGCTAAGAAGACTTTGGTATGAAGAGCAATATATTCCTGGGATCCCAACAGATGATATCCCGGACCTGAATTCATGCCTGTTATATCAGCAGTTACAGGTTATTAACTGCTGCATTTCCAGAAAAAAACGACATACTGCTGCTGTTGAATCGCTAGAATCTGTTACGGTCCGAGCAATCTCAAAATCCGAGGGTTCTTTAGATTCCAGTAGCACACTTCCCTTGGACCCTTGTTTATATGCTAAAACTAAGTCTGGAGAACGCGTGCTACGATTAGGAGCCGACAGAGAATGCGAAAACTTGACGATGCTAGAAACTGGAGAACCTGTCTATTCACCTGTTTTGCAGGTTGGTTGGTTTTCATAAGCTTAAGAAATATGTTACTTCAGTTTTAATGTCTTACATTTATGTTAAATTATAGGAACCACCTTTGCTCACCGAAGATCTTATCAAGGAGACAGAGGAGTTTGTGCTGAGAACTGGAAGGTCAGTCTAGTTATGTATTTTGTTTGACCAAATTTTTCCTGGAGTAATTTTGAGAAGTTACCATGAATTAATGTGATCAATCCTAAAGTATCTCTATCTCATTATGTTTCTAATGCCTTTGGTTATATTGGATTTCATACCTCATGCCATGGTAATTTAAATGGTTCACACCATGTTCCCAGTTTTTCCTAATAAATCAATATCTTTTATCCGGCTGTCTCACAAACAGCTGCAGATATTACCAAACATGCTTCATGGCATAATGGCATACACCACCAAGTAGGTTGTTTCGACATGAAAATAATGTTGCAAGAACATCATTTTGTAATGAGAACAATATGAATTGAGGAACTTTTCTGTCATTCAGGATTTATTTGACATTAGCTTTGCTTTTATTTCATCAGTGTTGGAGCAGGATGCTCCCAACTGCTTTCGGACATGCAGGCATTCAAGGTGAAGTTTCAACATCAAACATTCTTTTTTCTTTGAGGTCTTTCCTGGTCAATGGTTTTGAGAAGAAGTTTACAATGATACTGGCTAACATTGCTTAGACCTGGTCATTCTTGTCAGGCAGCAAATCCAGGTTGCATATTGGAGGATTTCGTAAGATGGCATTCTCCTCCTGATTGGATGGAAAATGAAACTTCCAATGATACAGATGATATCAGTGATGGGAGCGACTTGTCGATTGTTAAAGGTCAACTGAGTATGCGAATGCAAAAAGAAGGTAAAAACAATTTCTTTGCTGAGCTTAAAAAGGTATCTATGTGAGCCAAATGTTTAGTATTTGATTAAGAGGGTAAAATTTCCCTCTTCTCACGTATCATAGTCAATGAATAATAAATAATAAATTTAGATGCATGTAGAGTTAAATGGGGCATGTCACTTGGAAATTTGTAGTAAATTGTTGCTTTGAGAAGGACAAATAATTTTGTCATTAATGTATGAAAAAGTCATATTCTTATAACCTGGAAGTTCTCATTTNACATGTAAAATTTTCTTATGCATGTTTGTTATCTATCCAAAGTGTCAATGATGTTCTAAAAGTTGCTAGGCGGCTGGGCGGGGGCCTAGCACCTAGGGCGACTAGATGGAAATTAGACTAGGGTTAGGCGGGGTCACAAAAATATTAATAAATTTATTTAAATTTATATTAATCATTATACATAATTTGCAAGATATATTATGTACAATACACTAATAAGGTTAAATACAAATATTTTCCAATATATAATATATTAATAACCATTGTGTTAATTTTGAAATGATTATTATTTTCCTAATTCTATAATCATTGTATAGTTCAACATTCCATGTATGAAAATGAAAATATATTTTATTACATTATGAAAATCCAGTAAAAATTGGAGTGCCAGAGTGCTGCCTAGGCAGGCAACTAGCCCGATCTTTAGAACACCGGTCAACGAAAGAGGAAATGTTTACTTATTGGCCCATTGAGTTTTATTTCTGAGTTGTGATTGATGTCTAGGCAATTTATGGCGTGAACTGTGGGACACGTCGAAGCCAGTACCAGCTGTCAGACAATCCCCTCTTTATGATGAAGACCTGGCTGTGTAAGCTCCTGTATACCTGGAATGGTTATCTGATTATTGTTAGTACACATTTTGATTTAAGCAATATTGCATCACCTTCATGCAGGGAAGGTATTTTAAATCATCTGGATGAAATCTCACCATCTGAGCTTTTTAAGCAGCTCTTTGTTGCTGCTGTAAGTATTCCCTCTCCCTGATCTTTTGTTGTTTTATAATCTTTTATTTTATTGTTTTCTCATTTCAACTGCATAAAGTATCCATCCAAAAGTAAAATCGTTATCGCCTTTCGGTGATAACGATTTTAGTTCCGTGCCTTCTAAATTTTCAGACCTTTATAAGTACGAAAAAAAAAAAGTCATCTAGGATTTCCACATCCTCTATTGCAAGTTAAAATGGTAGGCACTAATTGATGTCCTTGATGTCTTTAAAATTTTAGTTGGGCTCCGGATTAGTAATTGCGGAAGCCACCCTCTCCACAAATTCGAGTCTGTCAAGTTTTTTCGACGAATGCAAGAACTACATTGTCCTCACTTGTCAAGGCGACACCTGGATGGAGAAACTCGATGATATATGTCAGGTATGATTTATGATGAGCTAATCACTCTTGTCCTTGTATTGTGTGTGAATATCATCATTTAGTATTTCCCCTCACCATTACAGATATACTACCTGTGAGATGTAACCTAATTACAGTAAGAACGCAGCTACTTATCAAAAGTACAAGCACCCTTTATTGTTTGGTTCTGTCTGTATGACAGAATGCAACCAATCAAGGTGGCAATCTGCTGAAGGAATAGAAACCTCACGGCCTATTCGTAATATCAGAAGATAATAATTGGAATTTTATTATTTTTATCTATTTATTTTTTTTGGCGGCACAGGTTTACGAAACGGTGGAGACTATGGTTCTAAATCAAGACGAAGCAATTAAAATCACTGTACAGCCAGAAGAAATCTCACCTGCCGATGAAATGAAAAACCGTTTCAAGAAACTTAGCTTAATCTTTGGCGGGAAAAATAAATCTTCATCTAAGGCCGTACCTTCTAAGAGCTTGAAGGATAGTAATACGGAGGATAGTCCCGTGCGCCAGCCCTTGTCGTCAATATTTTCAAAGAAGCCTCCTAAGCCAATTGCCTCTCCTTCAGATAATAAGACTTGCGGTTCAGTTGATAATGATTGGACAATTGTATAATTACATGAAGAACTGTATATTGCTTTGTGAGAGCATCTGCAAATTTCTGAGTCATCAGTTTTTCCAGAGAGTTGGGAAAGAGGAGAATTGGGTGACCCATTAAATGGAGCAATTGGTTTTTCTGGGACATTGGTGTGGGGCAAACTAACTCTACAACGAATTTTATACATAATTTAAGGAGGCTCGGTCCTTTTGCTGCAATTTTTCCCCTTGTACATTTTATCTTAAAGTAGGGGAAGTTGTCTCCGAGTAAGACGGATACTAATCGATAAGAAAGTAGTAATAAGTATGCTTTAGAACTAGTGAGAATTCCGTGTGATGCACGGGGTTTCCGTACTTTAGAATTTTTTTTTAAAAAATTTTATTTTCATAATATAGTGTGATGCACGGGGTTTCCGTACTTAAGAACTTTTTTTTTAAAAAAATTTTATTTTCATAATATATTAGCATGCTGACCGTTTATATTATTATAAATAATATTTTAATATATATATTTATTTTTTAATACAAAATAATAATAATTTTACATATTTTAGTTCATCATAATACTCAATTATTAATCTATCAAAAAATCTATTATCATATAATGTCATTATTATTTATAACACTTGTAGAAGTAATATATTTGTTATATAATGATAAATATGTAATGTGTATTAATATTATTTATTGATGTAATTAATTTAAAAAGATATAAGCAAATTTAATGTTTTGTAGGAATGTGATTATATGTAAGTTGATATAAAATGAAATGTATCAAAAAAATCTGCTTATGATATTTTCCTTTAAATGTTTGAATGAATTTGAAATTTAAATTACAAATCAACCTCCAGTTATTCAAATAATTTATGTATTGTTTGTATATTTGTTTGTATTGTTTATTATATTTGTATATAAATATATTGTTTATATATTCTTTTATATTGTACGAAAAATTGTTATATTTGTTTATATGTTGTTTAAATATATATTGTTTAGATATGAAACTAATTAACCTATATGTTAAGATAACATATAAAAATATGTATTGTATGTAATCTTAAACGTGTTTGCTAAATTTTTCCCCTAAAAAATTCAAAATACCTTTATGCATGTTTTGTTTGAAGTTTGAAATTTAAATATGCATATATATAACAAATCCCATGATTTATGCTAGCATTAAATGCTACTTATTTTTTTATTAAGAAAATAAAAAAACATACCAAAAATGGAATACAATTAATATTCCCTATTTTTTTGCTTACTATTTTTTGAAAAATGTTAATTTTTATTATATATATATATATATAGATTTCAATATGTTTACTTGATTATGAATAGAATGTGGAGGCGAAAGAGGGTGGTTAAATATTTGATAAGGTGAGGGTGAGAAAGTAGAGCAAGGAGTAACAACAAATAGAAGATATAGGTGAATCTAATAAGTCTATTCCTTAAATGAGTATAAACTCAATCTTAATCATTGATTTTGTGTTAGATCAATGAATAATATTAATTAGTTAAAATATACAATAATTAAATAATATTAAATACTAACTATTACATTAAAATTAATTATATAATAAATAAATTCATAAATTGAATTTGACCGACTGTCGACCGCCGTCGACTGTCGGTCAACTGCCGTTGACCAGTTTGACGTGAACAGCTTGCCACCACTCTCTCTGGCGTTGTCCTCGGAGTGCTGCCACCTTTCGCTGACCTCCGCCGTCCATGCTTCATCTTCCAGCACCGAAGCCCCTCACTAATTTGAGCAACGGCACTCCGATTTGACTGCTATACAGATCCGTGTTCAGATTGATGGTCGACATGTTGAGGCGTGTGGAAAGGACGACCAAGAGATACATTTATCTGGTTGTTGAGCCATAGTGTCTATATTCTCGATTTTGCGAAGGAGGCTGACAATGGGCCTGTCAAGTTGTTGTAAGACAAACAGAGGGTATGGAGATTCGGTAGGGACTAGACGAAGAGGGGATCAACAACATTCATTTGCTGGCGATAAAGATGGTGAGGGAGGACGAATCCTCGAGCGATTCAGGGACCGTTCAGGCTGGCCTGGCTGGTCATTGTTGGTTTGGATGTTGAACGTCTGTAGGCCCGTGAGGCTCGAGAGAGTGCCTGGAGGGAAGGAGTCGTAGTTGTTCTCGGGTGTGAATGGCTTGTGAAATCGGGCCAGGAGGAGGAGAGTTTATGACATAGGGGCTTGTCCTTCAAAATTTGATAAAATCTTAGAGATCTAATTTCAATTTTAGAAACTTATAACTTATTGCAATTTAATCCGTAAAGGTCAATATGTGATTATTTAAAGTGTTAATATCTGCAGTATGCCCCATGGTTTTTTTTAAATATATCAGTAATGCACATTTAGTTTATTTCTTGTGCATATTTTGATAATACACAATGCATATTTTAGTTATGCATACTTAACGGAGAATAAGAAATGCATATTTAGTTCATAATACACTAGTACGAATCACGTGCGACGCACGGGTTAGAAATATTATTTAATATTTATAAATTGAAAATGCTCATTAAATAATATTTATAAATTAAAAATATGGAATCAATATGTAATACAACTTACCTATATTAATTTATTGAAAATGTTATATGAAATATAAATTGTACGAAATTACATTATATATGTCTAGTTAAAATTGGTACACGACCCGTACGGTGCAAATAACTAATAGTACATTGCATTATATTCATTTCGAAATAGGTATCATTTTAAAAATTTTATTCAGAAATTCGATTTCACTACAATGTAATTTAAGTAAATACAAACCTTTAAATATATATATATATATGAAGGTTCAATGTGATTTGACTAAAATGTGATGTGACTACACGAAATAATTTGATATGTTTCACGCATATTTACAAACTATAGTATTCTCCATATTTTTCTCTCAATATTATTGAGTAAAATGCTTAGCAATATAAAAAAATATATATTGAGATACCATTTTTTACTATAAGCGGGTCTATTGGATCAATATATAAAATACCAAATAATTTGATTCATTTTTATCGATAAGATACAAAAAATGATATTCAGTTTTACCACAAAATTAATTGCCCAACGTACAAAATAAAATTGAGAGCCTACGTTTTTATAGATAAAAATAAAAAAGACCAAGAAAACAATTATTAAAAAATAATTAAATAGAAGCTGCCATTAATAAAATTATTTTGGAATAATTTTATAAAAAAAATTATGATTGAATAAATCAACCAAATTTACTCCACTGTGTAATTAGGGTATCTTAAAAATATAAATTTTTTTGGTCTAATTATTTCCTTAATTATCCATAATTTTAGTAATTAAATACACAAAAAATCAATAACAATTATTAAATAGTATTTAAATAAAAACTGTCACTAACACAATTTTTTTAGAGTAGTGTTTTTTTCAAATTACATATTTGATTATTTAGCTAATATTTTCATAATTTCAGTAATTATTTGCAGATTAAATAAATCATTTGAATTTAAAAATCTCTCTCTCTCTCTCTCTATATATATATNTTATTTTTTTAATAGTAACTATTTCCCTCCAAAAAAGTATATCCACTATTTCGGAAAATTAATTTAGCAATTTATGGTATATTTTAAATAATCAGTTATGGAAATTGCGGCTTATTATTTAAAAAAATAATTAAGCCATATAAAAATACATTTTTAATTAAGATACCTTAATTACTCAAATTAATTTAACAATTTATGGTATATTTCAAATAATCACTTATGATAAATTCATTTTTAAGATACCTTAATTACTCAAATTATGTGAATTGGCTAATTTACCCAAATATGGGAATTTTGGCTGCAATATCAATTATGTGATTTGGTAAAAAAAATTCCAACTAAATTATATAATTTATAATTTAATAAGTGTTTTATATTTTTAGTGTAATTCTTTTATGAAATACATTTTTAATATACCTTAGTTACGTAAATTCGACTGATTTATTCAATCTGTAAATAATTACTACAATTATAGAAATATCGATAACAATAATTAATTATGCATTTTGCAAAAAATTGTTCCCAAAAACCGTGTTAATGATCATTGTTATTTAAATATTATTTAATAAATATTATTAATTTTTTGTGTATTTAATTGCTCAAATCGTGAATAATTAAGGAAATAATTAGATCATAAAAATACCATAAAAATTTACATTGGCACTATACGGTCGTGTACTAATTTTAAATAGACATGTTTTATATAATTTTGTACAAATTAAATTTCATAACATTTTCAACAAATTAATATAGGTAAATTGTATTATATATTGATTCCATATTTCTAATTTAATAAATATTATTTAATGAGTATCGTAATTTATAAATATTAATAAATATTTCTTACCCATGCATCGCACGGGATTCGTACTAGTTCATTTCACAAAAGAATTACACGAAAAATATAAGCCACTTATTAAATAATTCATTACACAATTTAGTTGGAAGATTTTTACCAAATCACATAATTGATATTGCAGCCGAAATTCCCATATTTAAGTAAATCAGCCAAATTCATATGATTTGAGCAATTAAGTTATCTTAAAATAATTTTTTTATGGCTTATATCATTTTTCCTTAATAATGAGCTGCAGTTTCCATAAGTGAATATTTGAAATATACCATAAATTGTTAAATTAATTTCCTGAAATAGTAAAAGGATATTTTTTGGAGGAAAATATATAGTTACTATTTGAAAAATAATCAAATATATATATATATATATATATATATATATATTTAGTTCATTCATTATGCACATTTATTTACGACATTGCCACTCCATGTTTGACTGTCATATTTAAAGTTTGACTCGATCATGACCATTGACTTGATGAATTCAATGATCCATATTTATTCTTATTTCTTTCATTATTTACCATTCTTATTATATCCCAACTATATATATAGACATGGCCAACTGGAGGGCCGGTTTACGACCCGACTCGGTCCAGCGGGTCNATTACCACGGGTCCGGTTCAAGGACCCGTACATATGGGCCGGTGTCGGGCCAATTCCAGGTCGACTCAGCGGTCCAGGCTGACCCTGACCACGTATGTATATATATATATATATATATATGGATTGGGTCCAATGAGTTCATGGAAAATTGAAAGGTCGAAGGAGCATTACATTGACCAGATGGCATTAACAGATACTCGTAGTGCCCTTGGTGAGTGCGAAACACCATTTTTAGAATATCTGTGTCTGCCACTCTGGTTTGATAATACCCGACCTCGAGCACCAATATTGGGAATTGAAAAATGATCCTTTAAAGTCGCCGCTTTAAGTTCCGATAGTCCGTACAGAACCTTCAAGTTTCGTCCTTCTTTTTGGCGAGTAGCATGAGTAAGAAAAATGGGCTTGTATTGTGCTTGATTAGCCTGGACTCCAGCATCTCGCGAACTTGCCTCTC